TATCCAAAGGACACTTACAGCCCAAGACCAGGGCTCAAAGTTAATACCTTAACTTTTATGCTTCAAACCCAGAAGTGTTTTATTTACTATTATTGCGGCCAAGCCGCCTAGGGGTAAATGTATCTGTTTAACTATCTAGCATAGTTAAACCTAATCAAATGCATAACGTGTGGCTTTCAGCCAACGTACTGAGAGACTCTCCAACTTATGTACTGAGCGTTTGTTAGCTCTCCGGGTACTTCGTACCATGTGTGTTCCACACCATGTAACCCCGTTACATCCGCAATGCACTGCTAGCTACAGATGCAGCATTGTTTCCAAGCCATGATGTATCATAGCCTCCTTGTCTGGATTGACGACATCCTGCTATTCGCTGGCTCCGCAGCTGAGTACCTCGCTAGCCTGAGGATCTTTTTGGAGGTGCTGGGTGTTAGACGACTGAAGCTGAACGCGAAGAAGTGCGTACTCTTCGACACAAGAGTTGTATGGTGTGGCAAGGTTATCGACGGTCAAGGAGTTCAGCACTCACCAGAGCGCCTGGAAGCATTGACAAGGCACAGCTTACTAGCATCACGCTAACATGGCCACCAGAGGAGGAATCAACCTTTCGTGCTGTGGTCGACTTGTTGGTCACCTCCACCAAGCTCTACTTTGCTGACCCTGACGCCGTTGTCTGCATGTTCACCGATGCTTCGCTCGGCGGTTGGTCGGTCATATTCAGCCAAATTTGCAACTGGGTTAAAGGTTTGCCAGTCACTGAGCAACTACACGAGCTACTGGTGCGTCAAGGAGAACTATTCACGGGCTCTCAGGTGAATTGGTCGATTGTGGAAGAGGATGCCTATCCAGTGGTTCGTGAATGCAGTGACATTGCTTATCTTCTTGAGCGTGAGAAAGGTGCTCAGATCTATTGCGACCATGCCAACCTGATCCAAATTTTCTCACCTGACAAGACGGTCAGGCCACACTTGTGCGGGATGCTGCAGCGGTGGCCCTGCACATCGTTGGCGTCCGCTATAAAATAGAGCACATCAAAGGCGACGATAATGGGTGGGCCGTCCTCGTGTCGCGGTGGGGCCAGGAAGGAGCGACCCCGGTGCAACCGCCGCAAGCAGTCAAGTGAGTCGCACTGCCGGTGAGAGACGATGATGTAGACTCGATGCCTTGCAACAAGGCCTTTGCGTGGTCGTTTGACACCGATTACATTGCGACCGGATACTGGCAGATCCCCCTTCCGGAAGAGTAAGTGAGTAAGCTAGCACTAACCAAGAGGGTGACAACTCCAGCACGCAGCCGGACTCGGAATTTTGCCCGCTACAGGACAAGAACTTTACGTGACCAGGGGTTGACGCAGTCCGAGGTGAGCAGCACCGCTACCGTGCTGACGTTCCGGTACCTGCCGGCGACGATCGAGCTGTTCGTGTCGATGGCAAGCTGTGGATCCCTAAGCAAGCCCGCGAGCGGGTGCAACGTATACTAGTGGTTGCCCATTGTGGCCCTCAAGGACACCGAGGCAGCGACGTCATGCACACGGCACTTGCGGAGCGCTTTGCTATTGCAAATGCGAAGCCAATCATTGATCGGTTTCTGCGGAAGTGCTTTGCTCTGCAAGCATGTCAAAGGCGAGAAGATCGTGCTGAGTCCGTTAGGGCCTACGTCTACAGCAGTGAAGCGCAACGAGTGCCTTCATATGGACCGCCTGCAGCTAGGGGGATCCTACTGTGCGAGTCGCTACGTACTCGTGCTCAAGGATGAGCTTGCGCATTACTGTGAGTTGATCACTGCCGATGTAGCAGATAGTGGAACTGCAGTGCAGGCTGTGCTTGACTGGCACAAGCGGTTCGGACTGCCTGAAATATGGACATCCGACAATGGATCCCACTTTAAAGCAGCAGTAATGGAGGAACTTGCTGAGCGCTTGCAAGCGACACAGCGGTTGGTGCCGGTGAACACACGATGGACCAACGGTACTGTCGAGCGTGTGAATAGAGACATCCGGTACGTATTGCGTGTGATGCTCATGGAACTCAAGTTGGACACCCGCAATTGGTTTCACCTCCTACCTGTGATCCAAGCCAATCTCAACCACTCGGCGGTGGCATCCTTGGGTGGACATGCCCCTATTGAGCTGTTTACCGATTTACCGGCGCCGTTCCTACTCGACACCGTGTCGGTTCCCACCGGCGACTCCTATCGCTTGTTGCCGGTTAACGTGTTCGCGGCTACGCCGCACCTATATAAGCTGCGCGAGCATTTGCATGAGTTACACTGTAATGATGTCGAGCGCAACGAGCACCGCCGCTTGCAGAAAATATTGCGTACCAAGGGCACAGAATGCAACTTTGAAGAGGGTGATGGTCACGCGTTGATAACCGCATGACTGGTAACAAGCTCCTGCTGTGTTGCGTTGGGCCATTCCGAGTAGTTCGTGCCCTCTCACATTCATTTATTGTGGCTCACATGCTCACCGATGACGAGTTCAAGGTGCACGGATCACGCCTCAAGCACTACTGCGACGCCGAGCTCGGCACCACGGCCGAGATTCGCGAACATGTGGTAACCCAAGGTATTGTGCTCGGTATGCGAGCTATTGTGAACCACCGCTATGACAGCACGGCCAAGGCGTGGCAGCTTTACGTGGCATGGCGTGGACTCGAAGAAGTGGAAAACTCGTGGGAACCATTTGCCGCTATCTATCGCGATGTCCCTAAGCTGGTTCAACGATACATGCAGTCTGTGGAAGCTCTCGAGCTTACAGCCATGCTGTAACTCTGAAGTCTGCGACTTCAACGTCAAGATTAATATGTGAGACGGGGCGTTTAGTAACTGTCTTGTGTACGAAGACAGGGGTCAAGTTTCCGATTTTCAAGTTTAATTTCTCAGTTTCATTTTCAAGTTTTATTTTCGAGACTAAGATTTCATTTTCAAGTTACAAGTTTGGCTGTGTTGAGCGGCGATGGCGCCGCTTGTACCAGACGACACCGCGGCGACAGACACCGATGCAGCAGGACAACTGTCCGGTCTCTGGTGGACCGGGTTCTTACCGGTATCCTCCAGTGGGGTTCAGAAGCGGGCAGTACTGGAGTAACGCAGGGGCGATGAGGAACGCGTGCCTTCGAGCGGCGATGGAGGACGCAGCAGCGGCGCTGGACGGTGGCACGAGCCGGTACGATTGACTGGTCGAAGGCATGCAGCAGTGGCAGCCATTGGCGGACCGGTGGCTCGCAGGACGAAGGCGCTGGAGCCGAGGCTGTGGTCTCGGGCGTTGCCGATTAAGAACAACGTTGAAACTCTAACTCTAATCTCACTTCACATTTTATCTTTTAGGCCCGTTGTTAGCCAATCTCACTAGTGGACAGACTTCCTAAGTGGATAGAGCTTTTTCTACACGAGGTTGGTTGCCAACGATATATACAGAAGTGGACGCCTTGGTGGATAATGCCAGTTCAAACCAAGGCGGGATGGTTGACATCTATAAAATAAGTTTCTTTTTACTAAAATTAGTTGTCTTGCACACAACTTCAAAAAGACCTACGACCTTACTAAGCATGTAGACGACCTCCGCAGATGATGTTGCTACAGTTCTTCGTGTCCGCCAACAGTCACAAGCACGACTCGCACTGCTACTGTGCATTCGGTTGAGGCGTTCCCGTGAAACCAGATACTCTCGCCGTCGTGTGGACCCAGATGAGCACGGACTTTGGCATTCACTTGCGCCCTTTTTACCGCGTCGTGGACACTACAATGTCCGCCATTCTTTCCCTGCGAGAGCTACATATTAAATTCCCATATACAGATTCTGAGAAGGAGATTGTAAGGACTTTGAAGAGAATAGCTCGGGTCATGATCTGAGGGGGTGTCTTGGTTGCGTCGACGGCTGGCTCTGTGTGATTAAATCGCCTTCAGTGCGAGATGCTGGTGCGGTGGGTTTCAGTAAATTCTTTAGTGGTCACTCCTGCTGGAATCAACGTTCAAGCAGTGTGCGATGCAAATTGTCGTTTTACTGCTGTTGATGCTACCTACCCTGGAAGTACGAATAATTCTCGAGCATTTCAAGAGACAGACACATACAGAAGTCTCAATACATTTGGATGTGAGATGTACTTAATTGCTGATATTGCCTACCCTGTATCCGAACGTTTGCTGACACCTTTTACTCGCAACCAAATTTAAGACGATCACCCTGATGCGTTTAACGTTCATCTGAGTCAACTGAGGATTCGAATTGAAATGGCCTTCGGCCTTCTAACTACAAAGTGGCGAATTTTCCGGTCACCAATAGAACGTAACATGGCTAACACTACTACTATTATCAGCACAGCCATGGTTCTCCACCACTTTGTCATTAATAGGCGCATGACTGAAGATCCAGATTACTGCGTGTATGATGAGTCAATTACGCCGTTACAGTTGAGGACAGGTCAAAACAGACTAAATGACGCTGCAAGCTCAATGGAATATATGTCAAGCGATATAGTCGAGGAAGAAGGCCACAGTTTTATGCGTGACTGTCTTGTAAGCTATCTGAGAGACTGTAGTGCTGTGAGACCTCAGGTAAATCGAGACCGCAAGCAAATTTAACTTCCATAATGCAAGATATTTTTCGGAAGAAAGAAATGATACTAGAAAACAAAAAGAATGTACGAGCTGAATTTTGTCTCTCTTTATGTAAATGTTTTATCTTATCAACTAAATCTTTTTTCTTTTGCCGGACGACAGATATATCATTTTCGACGTCGCTGATCTCTTCTTCGGTGTATACCCCAGTTGATGCACGAACCATTCGTTCCCGCAACTGTAGCAGCGTGCTATAGGTCGCCAAGAGCTGAGATAATCGACAGTCTGCTGCCAATGCATCCGAACCGGAACGCCCTTTGTCTAGGGAGGAAAGAACCTGCTCGATTTTATCCCCCTTTGACGGTCTTTTTCCAAGCTTGCTGCGGGTACATTGCTTCTTTCTGGACGTCGACGCATCAGACTCGCTATCATCCACATCAACGTCACTGAGGAGCGCTCACATAGTGTTTAGTCTGGCACGCTTCAGAAGTTTTCCGGTCACTGATGCCAGCAGCCCTTGCTTATCACGTAGGATCTCGTGCATGTAGAGAACGTCAATGTTTTCAGAACAGAAAGAGAAAAACTGATTCTCATTGTTGCCAGACTGTTTTGGATTTGTGAGGGCAGTATTGTAGCGAGAGCTCACATCCTTCCACATTTCACGCAGCTTCCCGGCATCATAATGAATAATTTTCCCGGGATTACATTTAGAGAAAGTCACCAACTCAGAGTCGAGCTTGGCATATTCCGGATGTGGACTGAGAAATTCTTCATGAATTTGTACCCAAATGGAAGAGCTTGCTTGTGGTTGACTCGTGTCGAGTTCAGCACGTGTAGGTCGTTGGTCCAACTCAGGTAAACGATGAGCGAAACGATCCGAAAACACTACATTGAGTAGACGCGGAATGCAGTGTCTACATTTCCGCTTGGGCACGGCTCCTATCACAGCAATTGATATCCTACCTTCTACATGTAGCTCCTGCATTTCTGCATACGCTCGCTTGAGCTTCATGAGCAGCGCCACGTAGCCCAACTTTTTGTCATTGCATTCAGCGCCTGACTTGACGATGCGAAGCTGGCGGCAGTAGCAAGCTGTTCTCAGCTGCTTGGCTCCAAACGCCAACAGTCCCGTTTCCGTATTCTCAATACTTTGCGACTCATCGTAGAGGAGCTCGTCAATGCACAGCAGAGGTTTGGCTTTTTCTCTTTCGCCCTGATCGGACGCTGTTGTCGCTGCAACGCTTGGTTGCTCGAGTGGCGTAGAGCTGGACATATCGAGTGTAGCAACGTTAGACAGGATGATATATAGCGAGGCGAAATTAGGAATGACCTTACCATTCATGCCATAACAACGACAATCGTCGGCTATGACGTCTTCATTCCGTATGGAGATTCACCAGTGGGGAGGTCTCCCTTCCGTCCACAAAGAGTCCCCGTCCGCTGGCTTTTGAAAACCCGGGTGGACGGGGATCTGATTCCAAGTTAGTGGATGCATATGGCGTTCACTTACAAATCGCTGATTGGGCCACTATTGACAAATCCACTAAATTAGCGTGGCTAGCAACGGGCCTTAGAGCTCACTTTTGCCATACATATATGGACAAGCGCAGCAGTGCGCCAATGCATAATGAAGTCAGACAAAGTGGGTATCAGCTTGAAAAGGTGACCAAATCCGCTTAAGAAGAATGTTGGAGCTTTGAGGCAAACAGTGTTAACGATTTTAATCTTACTTGTCATTTTCTCTTCTAAGTGTGTGGTCGTGATCATACGGACCAAATGACATCTTTTAAAAGGGTACTGAGCACAAGTACTACGTTGTTTCTGCTGCACTAGCGTTGGTGCAAGATGACACAGCCACTCACGCCAATGGGTTGAGGGGATACCTAAGCGTTGGGGTGAACAGGACTGGGCGACCTACATATGGACAAAGAGCGCTGTTTTTTGGGTGGGAAAGGCTCAAGAACGTTATGGAAGGGATGATGACCACCAGCTCGATGCTTTCAATTTGCCGGATGTGAAGAAGCGTCCGACCTTAGCCAGATAAAGATCACCCACATGGTAGAATAGCCTCAAGACTGAATCCTCGGCAACTTGGCTAGTCGAAATTGAGCTGATGGGGTATTAAAGTTTTTGTGCAAGCGCGGGCCAGTCAGTCTGTCTCTTGAGAATAGGCTTGAACAGCTACATCCACTCATCATTCTGTATCAGCGCCTATACGCGGTCGAAAATGCGCTTGGCGACTGGTGTATCACCCTTGATAGGTGGGCGAGGTGCCTTCGGCAATGCTGAACGCTTTGCACTCGCCACCGAGGGGTTAGAACCTCCGGTCCCACCGTCATATTCTTCGTAGACCGGTTCCGGTCCCGCAACGCCATCTAGCTCGTCGGCATCGTTCCTCGAAAGGGACCTGGTCGCCCCGCTCAGCCCCGATGATAGCGTGGCCGTCTCCGGTGTCGTCGCACCTGGCTCTGGAGCCAGCGTCTTATCTTCGTAATCGTCGTAATCATGGGCGTCCGGACCGATGTCCGCCTCATCCTCGAAACTCACCGAAAGCTCGACGGCTGTTCCAAAGCGTGCCACCGTCACGTCCGGACTTGAACTCTCGCTGCGAGCTCCGCCAGACTTGGCAGGAGTAGCTGGTACCGTCGATTGTGCTTTCGCCATTTTTCTCGTTTTCTTGTTCTTGTTCTTCTTCTCCTCGTGGTAGCTCGTAAGCTTGAAGGCCATACAAACAGTTCACAACGGTCACACTCTGTTCCCGTGTCGCGGCATCAGTTGTGGTGTTGGAAATCCCACGTGAACTCTAGCTACAAATGTAGTTAGGAAGCTCCCACAACAATACATCTGCTAGGACAACAAACGATCGTTCGGGCGGACCTGAAACTCCAGTTCTGCCCTTGCACCGGGACAGACTGGACCTTGTAAATTACTTATATAGACCAACCAGTAAAAATAAGAACACGCTACTAGCACGAGCAAAGCTAATAGGTGTTATAAATCCTCGTGATCCCAACAGCGGAAGGGTACCAGGCACGAGTAAGCCTTTTACGAGGGCACCGAGGGTTCAACACTTGGTTGGAAGAATAAAGGGATGCAATTCAAGCACTCCAAGTCGTGCAAATAGGCAACAATGAGCCGTCACGTAAAACCTCCCGATAGTAATCGGCCAAAACACACAGTCGCTTGGCCTTGCCGGATGAATTCTCGCTACAGAGCTTCGAGTTCACCGACAGGCATAACACACTCAAACAAGCTTGACCAGACGCTTACCTTGAAGCCGGACGTCGCTCTGTGTGCTTGAGTAAAACTTCTGTTCTGTATTTATGTTTACCCTTTCCGGTCTATTCCTAATAAGAAGTCCTAATCAAGTATACAAATATCAAGTGAACAATGATCCGTTATGGATCTTCTTGCACGCCAAGCGTCGTCTGCACCGTCGCATGAGTATCTTTAACAGCTCGCACTTTTTCCGAGACGGTGACCGCGCCTTCAAAGGGTCGCGGAGCCTTCCACAAACTCATTCCAACCGCCACCGAGGGTTTGTATCGTAGATGGTAAGTTATTGGCCGCTGAATGCGAATCCGGCCAGTCCATTATTAATAATAAGAACAGCCTGGATTAATTGACATCTGGACCGTATCCAACATCCGCTGAGTGTTCGGTAGTGACACCGTCGAGTCTCTTGCACCTTGGAGTCACCGTACATTAGGTGACCGAGTCTTCATAGCTTAAACAGCTTGAAGGCGATCAGGTCTCTTTCTGCCGACAATTATGGAGAAATCACTACACCGCGTTGGTAAGTTGGATCCAGCAATCTCGCAGATTTTGCTGATCCCGCTACACCACAATGGTGCGCGTGCCTGGATCTTTTGGTGACTTAAAATTTCACCGTGGGTCCCAAGAAGATGTTCAAGTGCAGATTGAGCTAGGGGAAGAGGCGTCATCGGAGGTCGGATAGATGATGACGTCGTAGAATGAAACAAGGTCCGCGGATCGACGGAGTCCTGAGAGAAACTCTGTCGACGGAAGGGAGATAGTTCCGGATCTAGAAGAAAACCCTCTCTCTCCTTCCCCGGTCCCTTCGAGGTCCCTGCTGTTTTTGGCGCAAGTCAAGATCAGCTAACAAATAAAAGGAAAGTGAAGGCAAAACGGTACGCATTTATTGATTCACCGGCTAAATCAACACCGTAGCTAAACCCATGCCGGCTAGTCGAAAAGATGCGAGTAAGACTGCGCGGAAGATAATGCAAGCTCCATAGTCGGAAGAAGAAGATCCAGCTGGATCCAGGTCAAGCTGGTCCGACAAATATCGCGCGTTTGTATATCGCCACCCAGCTTTACGCGTCTTCCTGTATCGAGATCCTGTGATGCGGGTCCTGAATTCACGACAGATCGAAGATCCAAGGGAACCAGTGAGGGCACCAACAAAGACGTCGAACAAATTGGCGACAGTTAAGGATCTATTACGTCTGCTTTCGGATTCTGGTATCGTGGCCGGTGCGTTCGACGCGGAGGGTATTTTCGAGCTAGATCTGGACCTCATACTGTCGGTGGCGCAGGATCGCTTCGCCAGGACCACGTACATCGCCGGTGAGAAGCCGCAGACCATGGATCCAGTGTCGTCGCCGAGGGTCACTCAAGCTGCATCCTCCAACTACGAATCCGCGGCCGAAGATGGATTAGACACGCCCTCCGAGCCGCGACGCATGACCTTAGATCCCTCCGGGTCGTCAATACTGGAGGCGCGGGGCATGGAACTGAGCGATTGTCGAAGTTATCGCTGTGTTGGAAAATAACTGAGTATGGAATGTCGTGCGACCGCCGCGCGGATCGCACGCTCTCGATACAAATTGGGTGTTTAAGACCAAACGGAACGCTGACAGAGCGATCGAACGTTTGGCGAGGCTCTTAGCTTAAAACAATAAGCAGAGGTTTGGTGTGAGCTACAGTGTGACGTTCACGTCCGTGATCGACATGCCAAGCGCTAAGCTCATTCTGGCATGGCGAAGAAATGGCGCGTACCGGCCAAGGATGGCGCCGTTTCCAATGCCTACGTTCAGGTAGGCAAGGAGGATGGTCTGAACATATTTATGCGTGCTCCACAAGGAAAGACGATTCGTGAGGAGGTCCGAGAAGCATTGGGTGCTGGGCCGGGTGACGAACTAGAGTAGAAGTTGAATAAAGCCTTATATGGGCTGAAGCAGGTGGGTCATCTGTGAAGTAAGCTAGTGCACAAGAACTTGAAGGGCATCAATTTCGACCAGAAATCTGCGAGCATGTTTGTCGACTGCAGGCACGACGGAGATGATGTGGTGGTTGTCAGAGTGTACGCAGATGAGCTGCTGGTGACTGGGACTACGCAAAATGCTGTAGAGGCTTTCTTTGGTGTGCTTACGGAGCCTTCTATTAAGTACGTTGGAAGCGTGCACACGTTTTTAGGCATGCGTGTCATGTACGACGACGAAGAAGAAGAATACAACTTCGTTTCAAGAGGTAACGATAAAAGCTTAGCTCAAGCAGTACGGACGGAGCTGGTGCGCGGTGTCCGTACCCCCAATCGGCGAAGAGGAAATGAAGTTTAGGGTTGAGACCAAGAATAACAGCCCGTGGTGAGCGGTGATGCCGCGGTGACTATAAGGAGATTCCAGTCTCTCCTAGGCAGCCTTTTGTGGGTACCGCGCTGTACGCGTCCCGATATTGCTTTTGTAGTGCACAAAGCATCGACATATGTAACGGTGGATTAACAACTCGCCAAAAGGATTTTGAGGTACTTGGCGGGGACCCAGGTAATGTGGCTGGGTATGTAAGGAGGTGAAAAGTGAAATGAGCGGCTTCGTGTGGTGATGTACAGTGACGCGGACGGCGCTGCCGACAATTGCAAAAGAAAGTAAATCATTGAAGGTCTGGCTACTGCGGACGATATGGCGGTCCGTAAGCAACAGGGAGATGTGTCACTCTCCACAATGGAGGTAGTTCACAGCCGCCTCTGTGATGGGACAGAAACTACTCGGCGTGCGGGAACTGCTGGAGGAGATGAGGGTGGCGTTTGTAGAACCGAAGATGTTACGAGTGGACAATCAGGCCGCGCTGAAGCAGCTTGAAGGAGAGGATGTGGCGTCCACGACTAAGCATGGAGATGTGAGGATCAACTTCGTGTCGCACTACGCGCAGGGAGGGCGCTAGCACCGAGTTACCGCGAGGCGGAGAGAATGCGAGCGGATGTATTGACGGAGACGTTGGCGGGACCGAGGCTTACCAAATTCGGACTCAGGG